GTACTAAAATTTGCAGTAATTTTTATACCAAATGTTCTCTAAAATAGTATAGTAACTTTCTGTTAGACTGTTATCTATCAGTGTGATGATTTTGTTTTTGTATTTCTTTTTAATGAATGTCTACTATGTATGCTAGAAATATCTTATATCCTTTAGCATGTTTTTTTAGGAATGTTTAATTATTTTATCAACACTTTTTACTTTCAGGAATTTGTTTCCCAATTTGGGTTCTTTTCTTTCTATTCTGATTTTTTTTTGTCATGTCCTTGGATTCTTCCACTTTATATTTGTATCTTTCATGATTTAAGTTCCCTCATCTCCCTTTTGTTGTATTATTTGTATTTTTTAGGACTAGGATCTAATATATCACTTAGTTGGTTGATACTGCCATTTGATACACAGTAAAGTCTTTAGAAAAGATGGTAGGCAGGCACTATATGGTACATGCTAATGAATACTAATTTAGAGGAATTACCACAGTTTTATATCTCAGGGAGACTACCATCTCTCAGCCTAAAATCAGGATGGGTTTATATCAAAGAAATCTGGCCCTGAGAGTGATGGCTTAAAATATCCGCACTCACTTATACTAAATTCCACATGATAATGTCAGTATTACATTGAGAAAAATCCTTGCCAAAATACAAATTATCCATTTGGCTTACTGGAGAATCCCTTTCTGTAAGTAAAGTCCGTGGGTATTAACTAACACAAGGTCGTGTGGTGAATTTTTTTAAATCGTCAATTTTATCATAGAAGTTTTCAAACATATGAAAGTAGAGAGACTACAATAATGAATTCTCATATAACCATTATACAGCTTTAACAGTTATCAACACTCTACCACTCCTACTTCATTTATTCCTTACTCACTTTTTCTGACTGATGCATTTCTAGAGCAAGATCCAGGCATTTTACCACTTTATCCAAAATACTTCTATATCTTTTTCTAACACATAAGAATTTTACAGTTTACTTTAATGCTGTTGTTTTATTCAACAAAATTACTTACTAATTTTTTAATATCATGTGGTATCCAGTCTATGTCC